CGAAATAAAGGTCTAAACATGTAAAAAGGAGAAGAGATGGTGTTGGAGCCACCAGGCCCCACACAGAGCATCACATCTGCCTGGCTCCAACCCACCCATCCTGGTGACCTGGCACACGGTGCTGACCCACACCAGGGCCTCCTTGCACCGGCCGTTCCCTTTGTGCTCGTCCCTGTGCAAGGCAGCATCCAGCTGACACAGCCTCCTCCCCGTGCACATCCACCCACCCACACACCCACGAGGAGGAGAAAGCCTCAAGCAATGCAGGTGGGCTCGACGTGCCAATGATGGGCGCCTTGGCATTTAGTAGGAAACAGGGTATCTGTCCAAGTTCTGTGGCAGCAGCATGGGGAGGGAAGGGATATAAAGAGAAAAAAAATGGGGAAAAAACCAAGAACAACCCCAAGCAGTGAAGCAGCAGTGATGAGGACAGGTTCAGGGGATGCCAAACTGTACAACCAGTTCTTCTTTGGCGTCAACACGGATCTGTGAGAGCGCACTGAAGGCGTAGGCAGCTATCCGGGACACCTGCGGGCACGAGGACATGGCTGTGTCACTGGTGGCTGCTGAAACTCCCGGTTATCCCAAAGGAACTGTTGCAGGAGGTTAGCCTCCAGCCCTAACGAGTCCCTAAACCTGTCCTGGGCTTTTCCCCCTCCTCTAACAACACCTTAAACTTGACTTAGGCTTTGCCTTCAGCTCTGCTAAGTCGTGTCAGGGCTCTGGACAAGCCAGGAGGGCATCACTGCTCCTCCAGGATGAGGACGTGTCTCTGAGGAGCATTGCAAGGGCTCAGGGCCCACCCTGGCCCTGCTCACCTGCTGCAGGTCTGCAAAGGGGACAGGGTCACTGGCGAGCACTTGGTGCGGTTGATTAGTCAGAGACGGCAGCAGTGGGAGCTTCTTCCAGTGCGTCAGGTTGTTGCTGAGCATAGCCAGGCGTGTGCTGTAAGGAGAGAGCAGTGAACATCAGTGCCATGCCAAGACATGGGGACACCCAGAGCATGGGTGCTGCACTCCCAGCATCCAGCCCTCTTCACTCCCTGCAGCAGGAGGATGAGGGAGCTTCCAGCTCTCCCACATAGGCACCTTTCAAGCAGAAGCTTGAAAGTCCCATCCAGCCCCCCACCATCTGATCCAAGGGCTGTGTGAACACAGGAGCCCCTTTGTCCTCGGCTCTGCCACCTGCACTGCCATGGGAATTCTCTGAGCAGGCTGCACCCTGCTCTCCGAGATGCAGCCCTTCTACATGCTGAGTTCAATCCCCCAGGCCAAAAGCCCTGGGACCTGCCCAGAGACATACACGGCTGTGAAGGGACTGTAGGCACCCCAGGGGAGAAATGCAGGTCCCACCTGTACTGCCTGGCTCTGTCCATGTACTCATGCTGCTCCATGCCCTGGGAATCTGCTGCTGACACGTCGATGATGTTGCTGCAGAGACACAAGACAGTGGCTCCCACTGGAGGCACATTGCTCCCCCTGAGTATCCTCCCCATCTCAGAGCATCCTCTGACCAGGGCAGAAAAAATCCAGCACCCGCCAGCACCCCAAAACAAACATTTCAAGGCCAAACTCGCCCAATGAATGCTGCCAGCTGGACACAAGTGTGCCAGGCTGGAGTGGCTGTTTGCCAGGAAGGAAATGCCAGGGACTGTTTGCCCACAGCTGCCCTGGGGCAGAGGCAGGCAGAGGCTGCAGGAAGCTGGGGGCTGGTCTGGACTCTGGGGAGCTTGGCATGCAGCCATCTGGAGAAAAAAGGAACCACTGGGAGGACAATGCACTTGGCAGATGTCCTGAGAGCCCTGGTACTGGGCCCTGGGCTCACTGAGGACCTGGGCACTTGCCCAGGGCCCTGCCGCAGTCCCATTGTGTGCAGCCCACCGCAAAGTAGCGCTCAGAGCTGCTGTGGCCCTGCATGCTGGACACACACTAGTGGCCACTAGCTCCTCAATGTCAAGGAGGGGAGCAGAGAGGCCTATGAGCATCCCAAAGCCCTCCCAGCCAGGCTGGACACAGCCTTCTTCCCACATTGCCCCTGTGCATTTGAGGAAAAGCCTCCTCAGAAGGTGACACAGTGCTGCTGCCCCGTCAGCCACCCTCTCCACATCCCCATAGACTCACTTTTTATTCAAACTTTGCCCCTATTTCCAGCCCAGCAGTCAAGGGGTTATCTCACATCTGGGGTCTTCTCTGTATCCCCGTGGGGCTCAAAGCTGAGGGAGGGGGCTGTCTGAGAGCAGAGGGACATGGGGGCTCTACCACAGCTCCTCCCTTCCCCTCATGTGGCTGACCACTGAGGCCCACAGCCAGGCAGCCTCTCTGCTGCATGCCACATCCAGGGTCACCACTGGTCCCCGAGGCATGCTGCCTGCCTCACGGGCATGGCCTGAGGCTTACATGGCTGTTTTGGCGAGGATGGAGGACAGCATGGCCTGCTCATCAGTGCGTGCCGACGGGAGGTTGTGGTAGCTCTGCTCCGCTCCATTCAGCACCTTATTGGGTGGGCTGGCTGCTGGCTCCAGCAGCCGCTTTGTCTCTTCCTCC